TATAATTAATTAATCTATAACTTATCTTAGTAATTCGAAATCATATGTTGTTTTTCTATAAAAAAAAAGTAAAGCATATTCATATATTTACACACTATTTTTATGTCATTAGAAAATTGACAGTATACAATAACAATCTAGAAAATGTCAATCCTTTGACTGACAAACGAGAGTAGCGAAAACTATAGATCGACTGTGTCAACGTATTTGAAGATTCAATGATGATGATGATAACGGCAAATGCTTGCATACTAATGGGATGTCCAAGTCAAGCATACATATGAAGGGAAAAGAAACTTCTTTCAATAAAAAACATCATCAACAACAACAACAAAAAGGAAAATTTAAACATTTTAATGAAATAAAGGTTTTTATATTTATTGACTTGTATCATGAAAATCAATCTTATTGTTCACATTTGAATTGTTATCATCAGTATTATCGGGTGTGTCGCTTTGATTATTAGATGCACAACTGCGCCTACATCTTTCATTTCATAAATTTTGGCATATTGATGATTTTCTAACATTGAAATTATTTAATGAATTCGTACAAGACTTTTTATGATGCTCAACATTACTTTTTTGTTGACTCTCTAAATATTTTTCATTAACTGCTCTTGTTCCCATCGTATGTTGATCTTCATGATGCGTAATAGCTGGCGATACGCTAACAAATGATGAACGACAACGTTTTAGATCTTGATATTCTACAAGTACCTGACGATATTGTTGATTTGTTGATGCTCGACGTTGGTTAACACCGTTCATCATATCTGTCTGCAACATTGATCCTATATCAGGTTTCGCTTTAACATGAATTGTCTTCATTAGTGCTTGACGAAATTCTGTACCTGATAAACAATAACTAAAAATACTAGCGTAATTAAAATACATTAAGATATTATAAATAGTCCATTGTATACGTCGGCAACGCATCGTATCAACGGACGCTTTATGTGATAATAAATCAATTATAAATGCGGTTACTGGTAAAGTTGTTGCAACGAATATAAATGATGAACATATCATAATTAAACATAATGAACGAAGGCGATTTGTTGCTTTGGAACGGCTAACGACTTCACTTTTCTTACCAGGACCAGATACGAGAAATACACGATTAATAACAGTTAAATTACATAAAATAATAAAAGTAAAAGGGATTATTGTGACAAGAAACATGTCGATCCATGTATAAATGTGTTCAAAGAAATGTACATAACTCGGATGCAAATAACATCGTTGGTATTGGAATGGATTTACAGTCGACCGTGTAGAATTCAACGCATTCGAATTCTTATTGTCATCTTCACCTTGGACAAATATTAATAGATGTATATTAGCTAATGATAGAACAGTGAATACGATGCTTGAATTAATCGATGCTTGGCTTGTACGACACCATTTCGATGTGTAAATCGGAAATTTTACAGCAACATAACGATCAAGATTTAGACAACATCGAAACCAGGATGAAAGGTGAAGTGTATTACTAAAAGTATAATGAAACAGAAGTATTTATGTTCGTCTACTATGAAAAAAAAAACTTACTAGAAAAAGAAAACATGTAGTTTACACAATAGGGTACCTTGAATATGAAGATGAAAACTTGATGATAATAGTAATTCACGTAATAAACCAATATATAAAAGAACAGTATCGGCAATAGCCATAAGTGTCAAATAACGATAAACGCTATGTTGTCGCATTTGTATTAAAACAACTATTGATAGAAGATTGCCCACTGTACCGAGACCAAGTAAAAATGGATAAGTGTACAATTCAATTTGTTGTGCAATCTCTTCTCGGAGCGAACAATTCAGTGTCAGCATCGTTCACTAACAATCATTTAACTAATAACATATTAACCGATTCTAACCATTTCTACAGACAGAGACAAAAAATAGAAGAGCACAGACATAAAATAACATATTATGTTCATTTCAGACCACTGACAGGTAATTTCCTTATCTTATAATGTCATGCAAACAATCTGATGATTAAATGAGAAAAAGAAGAAGAAGAAAGGTTTGTTCGCTTCAAATGACATATACTATATCTTGTTTTGTTTTCAAGACACCATCAAAACATCAAAAATGTATTAGATATTGTATTAAAAGAAAAAAAATCGTAGACAGACAAAAGCCTAATATAATTATGAACAGCAAGTATGAAATGTGCACTCAATCTATTGGAATATTCAATATGCTAACATGTTTGCTTTTTGTTTGAAATGTTATGATGTCCATCAATTACTAACCATCGATAAGAAGAACAATAGATGGAGAATAAAATGAATTAGCAGTTTATTAGCGACTACATATGAAGGACTTACGTTCATATATATGTAGGGAAGAAAGACTCGACAGATGTTTTCACACCCCTCTGAAAGATAAGAAGAAATATTATCATCGTACAAATTTAAATCATTCTCAAATGGAGCCGCGTTGTTAGGGAAAAAAAGGAAAGTTATGATAGTATGCCAACGATAATAAATAAGAAAAAAAGAACAATGTTTTGTTTTTCTTCATGAAGTCATGTTTGGAAAAGCAGAGAAAAGTAAGAGAGTTTCGGTAACTTTTCACGTCTGTGTACATCGAGAAAACGTCTATGACAATAAAATAAAATCATAACAGGTAACTATTTATTTATGGAAAAATTTCTTCCGTAGAAAAAGAGTATTTACTCATTTTATTTCTGACAAATATTGCAACTGATTGGCAGTTAACTTCAAACAAGATGAAGGTCAAGGGGAACGCTACTCATTGCATTCTCACTTGAATTCTGTACCTGTCCGATAATTATGAGTAACAAGTCTCTCATACCTTAGTGTGCATATCAAATAGAAAATAAAGCTAAAAATGGCTCGTTCAGTGGTGTCTAAACTGATACGCTATATGATTCCTTAATGGACACGAACTTGTCTATATTATTGTTCACCATTGTTAGCATCATTCTCATACTATTCTACTGGAAAATATAAACACATGTTACACGTATACTTTCGTTGTTGTCATTAGTCTGTTTTTGGCTGTCTGTGTCGGTTTATTTTTCTTCAAAGGAAGAATGCTGTTGTTTTGGTTTATGTGTTATGTGTATAGAATATCATCCTTTTGTTTATGTCATCCAATGGCACGCCCTTCTTTCATCACCGTCCATCTAATAGTTGTTTTTACTGGCACTACACGGCACGATATACGCCTGTTGACACATCATAGGGATCAAAAAGGAATGAGAAGAAATGAAAGTGGGAGAAAGAGAGACAAAAGAAAGATTAAACCAATTCGAGAAAAGGCACAGCCGGTATGTGAAAATAACCAGCTGAATAAAACCAAACTTCTCTCACAGAGACCACTCATGTTCGGAATCGGATGAAATAACATTGTATTTTTAATCGATATAGCAATCAATCGATCTCTATTTTCTTCCATTAACATATTGCAGAAGTGTGCGAGCAGATGATGATGTTTCCAAGACAATACATATAATTATGCATCGATCGCTTTCTAATTGTTGACATAGTTTTACATTCATCTTTGTTTTGTTTCTTTTCACGCTTCATGATTTCATCGCATTTTCTCTATTTGCTGTTATTTTGAACAAGTATCTCGTATATTTTCACACAAAAACATGTGTACTTACAAGATTAAAAGAATAGTAATTGAAAGATAAGAAAGTCTATTTAAAACTATATTATAACCTCATCAATAACATTTCCTATCTTGGATAATATACAATTGTAGTTTGTGCAAATCTAACAAAAGAAAAAAAGAAAACATCGAGCTATATTTTATGTGCACTAAATGATCACGTATCCTATCGTGAGTTCCTCTTTATTATTGATTTTTCTCTGATTATATGAGCCCTTTGAGACGCATTTTTCGGATGTTCAATAGAACGCAATCTTAGAGTGAAATGCCAATCTGAATTATTGCCAAAAATGATTTTCTCTTCAATGGATATTGTAACAATCATCAATAAATAATGCATTTGAACGATCATCATCTTCTAGTGACAAAGGCAGCGTGAATAGATTATGTGATTCTAGATGGATGAATCAGAAAGATGACAGCGACTTTATTCATATTAGTGCTCGATTGATATCGTTTTTCTTGAATTGAGCTCAAGGTCAATATTAATTGTCATCATTATCATAATTTCGTAGCCTTTTCTTCTGCCAGCATCATGCGCATGAAAATGAGATGTACTATCGTACGTTTGTAAACTTCTCTAACAGATTTTTCATTCAACAGACGCATCAATTTACAGAGAGCAAATTCATAGAACCACGTTTTTAAAGGGCACAAAAAATAGTCATTAAGAAATAATAAGTACAAAAAGCATTATATAATTGTCGTAAAGATCTATCATAGCGAACTGATTATTTCTCTATCGGATGATTGCATACGACATTTCTACGATGAAGCTGAGGCATTTTTTGCCTAATATAAAATTTTCTACAAAAACAAAAGATCAAAAATGACGCTTAAACATCTTATATTGCACTTATTTCGATAGTTTTCTTTTGTCGATTAATAATTATTGTCATGCAACTTCCTAGAACAAAAATATCATACGCGATCTTAAATTATAATTTGCAAATATTCAATGTGAAAACTACACATAAGCAAATTAAACTTTTTTGGTCTTGAAAATATTCCAACTAGGCTACTGATTAAAATATACATCAAACACATCACTATGAAATAGACAACATTGCCATGGGAAAATAGCAAGTAGAAAAACGGGAAAGAAATATGTATGCATGTCACCGACATGATATTTCAGGAATCATTGATTGTTTTTTTTGGCAGAAAAGAAGTGCATGAAAAAATCTGTCATTCGGCAAACAAACGATGACAAGTGGATGTCAACACTTGGTTTGTGTATCTTAGAATCTGTGAATAATTTGTATACGATCAGCTATATGCACAGCTTTTTTCAAAAAAATTTCTTTACAATATGCGTAACATTAAAGAAAAACAAAAAACAATATATTTAATTCTTTTTTCGTTTTCGTTTTGTTTTTCTTTTTGTGATTATTTTAAATATTTGTGTTCTCGTCATTTCAATGTGTTTTCTTTCAGACTCTAATTCTAGATCGTTAGCTAGGTGAATGGCATTAGAAAATTGGGTTTTGGCTGATCGTTGATTGCCAGTTATTAAGAGTTTAAGAGCATAACACATTAAATAACGTGGCCGTAACAATTTAAAATGTTTACTTATATCATGCATATGAGTTATAATTAAACGATCATGAATTGGTTTTGGTAATATCGATATACGAGTTTCCATAAGCCATTTAGTACATTCATATATTTCATATATAGCTAATTTAAGCATTCCATTATAGACACGAAATGTCCATTCTTTTAATGACACACCAAATTTAATTGCACGCATATAATGCTATATAGAATTTAAAAACAAAGTTGATATTTTTTGAATTTATTTGAATGAGACGGTGTGACATTAAATTATAAATTTTTTCTCTATTACTCAATAAGATTTACAACAAATCAAGAAGGGACTTTGTGCTGTTCAAAAGACAAAACAGGTTAGACTAACATATTGAAGTATTGATATGCCCTTTTAATTGTATCTTTCAAAATAATTTTGTCTTATATTCCTACACGATTCTTGTTTACCTGTGTTACGAATCGATTAATAACTAATCAAATAGAACAGAGTAGAGAATATGAACCTGCAAAAACATACTGTAATGGAAAATACTGTTATCATTTCTTGCTGTCACTCAACAAACACTCTCGAAAAATATTTTCTATGAACCCTGGATCAATTAGAAGTATCGATATTGAAAACAGAACTCTTTACATAGTTTCTTTATTTGTTAAATATTAATACTGGTAGTTAGAGAAACAATTATCTTGATAGTATTTGTTTCATATAATCTTGAAATTTACTCGATTGATTAATGTCTTCTATGACAAGATATTTCAAGTTAACACAAATTCTATTGAAACATACTTAAATCTATGGATTAAAATTAGACGCGTCTCGAAGAGAAATCAGTAAAAAATTATTTTCTTTTATATGATTCGAGTCGTTTTCTTAAATATAACAGTTTTACCAGTTACAGGTTAGCTATACATAATGAATAAAAGAAAAATCTATGTCAGCTAACTTCATCCTCAGCATAGTACAATCAAGTCCTTTTTTTCTGGAATAGTTTTTCCGTTTCAAAATAAACTACAACAAATTCATATGTTTATAAGATGATCGAATAGTTTCATACCTCATTTGCTGAATCCAATTTAACAATTTTCGTATAGGATTGTACTAATGTAGCTTGAGCATAGAAAACCATTGTTAAAAATTTATGAATGTCGCCTGGTGTTGATGTTTTTTTTTCTAAATGTTCAAGGACATAATCAATGGCAAATGCAATTTCATTCAATAACTTTTCATCGTATTCTATATTAAGTTCAGTAAATGCTTCAAGTGCTAATATAAATGCCCATAAACGATTTTCATATTTTAATGGACGGTTTGATTCATTGTCGATTAAATCAATGAGATCACGTATGACTTCTTCTCGTCTACCAATTAATGCTGCCTTAAAAAGAATAAAGAAGAAATCATGAAATAATTATATTTGTTAAAGTATTATGATTTGTTTTACTTGTAAACTATAGGTTGCAACTGACATAAGATTTTCATAAGCACCAATTTTAGTTAATAAATCTTTGATTTTATATGAATCATTTAAAGCTCGATCAATTTTTCCTCGATATAAATTCCATGTCATTGATAGCCAATTTGATTTAATAGCAATTGTTTCATAACCAATATTAACTGGTTCAACATATTTAATAATTGCTTGAATAAATAAATCGCAATCTTCCATACGTTTAAGATCATGTGATAATTCAGTGAGCAATATTAATGATTGGCAATGTTCGTATGATGTTAAAATAGAATGACATTGAATTAATGATAGCGCAGCATTTAGGACACAAAAATAAGCGAATAACAATTGTCCATGACGTCTTGCACATTGTCCAGCTCGAAATAATAATTTACCTGTAAAATATCTTTGAATAATTTCATCATCCGATAATTTTTTATTTATTGTTGGTCTTATAAGTGTTCGTAGAAGTGTATGACGTAATTGTTTACATTGACTTTTTAATTTCGAGGAATCTCGTGAACGAAAATCAGTTAATTGAACATTTAAAATGTTTAAACCTCGAACTATATATAGAAAAGCTTCATCATTTTTACGCATTCGATAGACAGATTCTAAAATAAGACAAAAGAATTTGTGTCATTTTATTTTATCTTTTTTGTGAGAAATCAAAGAAGAAAACTAACAACCTGATAATAACTCATAGATCTGTGGTTCAAAGAACGATGGTAAATTTAAATGATTTCGTCCCTTTTGTAAACGTCCTAGAATATTCTGTAAAATTATTTTTGATTCATAGTAATTGGTTCGTGTTAATTCAACACGTGCTAATTCTAATGAATAATAAAGAACTTTTTCTAGATTTGATGATTGATCCCATAATTTTATTAATAAACGATAAATTTCAACAAGTAAATAATTACAACGACAATTACGTAGATTATATCTTAAAGAAGAAAAATTAAATCGTATTATTCTCTTTAAATATAATTTTATTTGTACTCAATTTCTGTTGTTGGATTGATTTCGTCTAGAATTTTATTTGAAAATAATTTTGTAGTTATTGAATTTGTACTATTGATTTGTTCACTTTGTATTTCAATATTATTTAATATAAATGCATCATGATTTATTGGACGAAATCTTTGTCTTATATGTAAATCAGGAGCAAAATCAAGAAATTCAAAACGATGATCAATCCCATCTTTTAATAAGAATAATGGACATGTTTCAATAAAATTAAGATGTAAACGTTCATTGATGAATAAGTTTTCTTCAATAATGAAATCTTTTTTTAAAGGTTTTTCATTACTATTATTATTATTATTATTATTATTATTATTATTATGAAACATCATGGACGATATGAAAACTGTTGATGTTGAATCATCATCAGCTTCACGTGACAGATCTAAATGTTTTATACGATGTTCAGCTTCTGATAATATTTTTAAACGAAGAAAATAATTCGAAAAAAAAGTTGAAGATACATTCTTTTATAATTTCTTAGTTTTTATATGTGTGAGAAGAAATGCAAGAAGACGAATGTTTATAAAAGAAAAATAGAAAAGTTAAGAATGGAAATCTGATAGTTATGTATACTCATGAGACCTTAATGAATAATTATAATTTTGATATATCTTGAAAAAACAGTTACTTCAGATAATAATAAATGCTTTATTTTTAAACTTTGATGTCTTTTTTTGTAGGACATTTTAGTGACATAAAGAATTCAATAATGACATGTTGATTATGCCAATATTCAAAATATTGAAAGCAATCCAAGTAATGAAATATAAAGTTGCAAAGATCGACTATTGCCGGATCCTTATTCATCGATAGCCCTCTGTCTTTGTCAAACAGTAAATTTACAATTATCAAGGTATGCTGTTATTTTCAAGTTGAAAATGAAATGTTATTATCTTTTTCGTTTTAATATAAATATGATTGTTTAAGTACACGTATTATTTTCACTATAAAAAGCTTACCACACATGATATTTTTTGTTCGCAGTCGCTTATTTTTTTCATTTAGAAAATATCGTGAAAGCCTATGATAGATACCATCCGATGATTTAGATTGTCTATTGATTTTTTTCAATCTTTTTGTAGAATGACGCTGTCGATTATTCATTTTTTCTTTTCTTTGATTGATCAAATAAGCATGTTCGATTGGATTATGTATCAATGGAATATATCTTGTTTCCTTGCGAAATTTCACTTAAAAAAATCGATCAACTAAACTAGACAGAATTTTTGTTTTGGTCGTACCTGATGGAGAAAAATACATCTGAGATAAATTATAAAAAGAAGATGAATTGCTGATTTGAATATATTTATTTCGATTGAAGAAATGATGATTATTATGATCATATAGTGTATTTTTATTCCCATTGTGAACAGTATGGAATCGATTTAGTTCAAGTTGAGATCTAAATCATTGATATGTCTTTTAAAAAATTTTATACCATGTTTACTTTGATGGTATGATTGCTTGATTCATTCCAAAAATAGTACTTGAATGGTTTGATATTCGTGTTTTACAAGTTCGTTGAATCCGATTATTTAATTGTTTAGTTGGTGGGGGAATTAAACAAACACTGTCTACGGCATATGGATACTTTTCATCTCTTTTAGTGAATGAACAACAAATAGTTTTTTCTATATTATGTTCTAATAGCGAAATCGTTCTCTCAGTTTTTTTATTTTCAAATGTTTGTATCCATCGATGACTAAGCATTTGTTCAATGGTAATTTTAGGAAGCTCATTCATACTCATATAATTATTATTATGATTGTCATGGCAGAGGTGATTGAAAGCTTTTATACGATTCAAACATTTTTTTCGTCGAAATTTAAATAAATGTCTTTTGGAGAATCTTAATTGATTAATTATTAATCGATTTTTACTATGTTGTGATAAATAGATTTTCAAAAATTCATTACACGTTTTGAATTGTCTCTTATCATCTAAACTTGTTTCATAGTAATGATTATTGTTCAATGAAATTTTTTCTAAATCTTTTGTTAAACTATTTTTTTTATCGTTCATTAAAACATTTTTTGTTGATTCAATACTTGGTCGCGTTTGATAACTTGCTATTATTGGACTGACAGCATGAGTAAGACTATTTTCTTGTAGATGAATAGGAATTCGGGCATATGTTTCTCCTTCAATTGTATCTTTACGCCCTCCAATCGCTGTTTATTTAAGTAAAAAAAAGGAAAAGATTAGAAAGTTTTCTATAGATCGTTTAACATAATTCTCTTGATTTATGAAAAAGTAGCCTTAAAATAAATAGATCAAAAGTGACGGGCGATACAAGAATTATTCTATCGTATTGTCTATGCAAAGCTTGTGTTAACAATGAGACTTGTCAACCTTTGACCTTTCAGCGGATAAGCACCTGATAATTTTTCAAACCAGACGAATAGTTCAGGCTGATTTTTAAAAATTTTACCGTGATCTGGCTCGTCAGTATAATTTTTAGTTGTGCTATCATGCATGTCACTATATATGAAAAAAATAACCTATTAACCGTACTGATTAGAATAAAATGTTAATTGGTATAAGCAACAACAAGAAAAAAACAAAGGTGCTACTTGATTCAAACAATTTTTTCTCTTTATCAGATTGATAGATTTGGGTAACCTATTGAAGTTCTTCAACAAATGTTTATAGCATTCGTTACTTTCGATGATTAAAGCGTAATTTATTTCGTAAAACAGTCTTACAAAATGTTTATGAAGAACCAGTGATTTTCTATCAATAAGTACTGGATCATAAAACTGCAATCTCTTGAAGCAACGATCTGACGCAACTAGTAGAGACGTGTGCTTATAATGTAAACACGATTAACTAGAACTAGTCAACATTTTTGATTTTCTTAAGTAACTGAAAGGTCACATACATCGTAACATAAAAATTGTCGAATTTCTTTTAGATGGGTATTTTATCATTCAAATCGAGTCTTTTTTTTGATCTGCACTACTTAAGGCGCTCAATAAAGCGTGATTTCGGTAACAGCAGCTATTCATTGTATTTCATCTAGGTGACATGAAAAGGTTGAGATACTCTCTCTCGCTCCCTCTTTTTAACTTCGAGATTACTGTTATTAAAAACAAATATGAAGCCTATGCTAAAACCAAAACGTTTTGCTCTCGAATAGCGACAATATTGTTTAATAAAGAGAGAGAAGAACAATCAAACGAGACGAATGGAAATGAAGCTGACAGAGAGCAACTAATGTCAATATGAGAATGTCAACTTTTTTTAAGTAATGAGTATCTCAGTAAGAGATCCGAACTCGCTCAGAGAATATTTCACAATATTAATGTGAACTAATCTACAACTATTATATTCAACGTTATCTAATTTTTATTTTATTTTATTTTATTTTATTGCCAATCTATCACAGTATAAACGCTAATATTTGAATTCTTCAATTTGAGATTTCAGTTCGACTCTAAAATAGCAACAAGAATCCTATGTAATTGACTATAGGATGCCAATAAGATACAAATAAACAAAGTTTACAATAATATTTCTAGCATCTTTCAAGAATTTCTTAGCGAAATGAATTCAAAGAAGGACGGTTCTCATATGAAAGCTGTGAGGAAAATGCATTGAAACAAATCACCGGGAAACGTTTTATATAAACATTCGATTTTGAAGTTGAGAAAGATATGAATATCATTTTATTTACCCATAGGACTAAACGATGACAATGGTTTAGTATTTTGTGTAAGAGCTTCAATTTGTTTTATATTAGTACGTAATTCATGGAAATATTTTCGTTTTTCATTTAATTCTTGGTGATAAAGATTTTGATGAAAGTTTTGCATGAGATTCTTTTCTTTTCTTTTATCATTATTGAAAAAAGAATCATGTTTTATTTGAATCAAAGGCAATCGGTCATCGTCATCATCATCATCATCGTCATCATCAATTTTTTTATCTTCATTATCGTTTGTCAAATAGGTTTGTTGCATTGAAAAGTGATTAAAAATAATATATTGCAAACGTCGATTCAATTGGTTTAGTTTTCTTTCATGAAAGGTATCTAATATAGACATACCTAATTTCATGCTTTGTACAGGTGTTAAAAATATTAATGAATTAGAATCGCCACCGCATGATTTACATAAATGACTATTTGATTCAAGAAATACAGCCATTTTTGATGAATAATCATGTTGAAATTGATCAATTATTGTTGCAAGTGTTGCTTCTTTTAATGTTGGATCTTTAAAAGTAAACATATGACAATTTTCTATTTGTTTTGTCATATTTTCTGGACAACAACATATAGGTGTCAGACTTTTAATCGACAAAGAATATGAATTATAAATGTTAGTAGTTTTGATAACTTTTACTTTTTTTCTTGTAATAATCTGGCAATAGTAGAATTTTTTCTTGCTTCAAAATCAAGCCAAGCACATTCGAATATTTGTGCACGATATAATTGAGAGAATGCGCTATTAATCTTTAAAGGAAGAACAAAGAATTGAACATGCGTTTATATGTAATTCATTTACTGATATGCACAGCAAGAAAACAAATCGATTTATATTACGTTTTTTAAACGTAAAACGAATCACATCGATCTATTTTTTACGCTGCTCATTTTTTTATGCTGAAATAAAAAGTTATGTTGTGGATATTTTGTGCAAGCCTTACTCAAGTCTTTGAACATTTATTCTTGATAAAATATCTGTAACAACGGCATGTATGACTATCAAGTACGATGCGCTATTACCTAACTGAAATCGTCCAATAGTGAACACATAACATCAAGATCTATCATATAATGAAAGAAACAAGGAACACCTAATTTACTTAGAAAAAATATTTTTCCGATGTTCAAAATCATTTCGATGGTTGATTCTATTTAGATAGATTTTTCAACGAAATCAAATAAATTTATCAATCAACTAAAAAATCGTCGCAATTGAAAATGGAGTTGATTTTTTATGTTTTTACGATAGGTAAACCCGAGATATGAATTATTTCACTTTGAATACGCATGTATGAACTAGTTACGCACTGATCATTTTCACAATAGAATTAATAATTTTATGTACTTGTTTCTTACTTTCAATAAGTCTGCATTAAATCCAATTGTATGATGTTTATTATTATTTAAATGATGTTGATGTACAGTTAAGAGTTCATTGGTATGAATATCATAGTTCGTAATTGCATGAACAATAATTCTAGTATGAAAAGCCAACAAGCTGTTAGTACTATCACTTCGAGATAAAAATTTGAAAGATTATTTAACGATTGGGATTAATTACAGAGGACTTCACATATTCTGTCTATTGTAAGACTCATTTCTGCGCTCACCTTTTATTGTATTGGTGAGAAATTAAAAAAAAGAACTAATCTACTTATTATGACAATATATTATCGTTTTACAATATTTGATCATTTATTTATATCATCATTTAGAGTGAGTAAAAAAGTGAATGGGATGTAAGATTTCGATTCATAAATTTTAGAGCTCCTGTTAAATTGAGTTTTACAAAAATTATAAAATCGAATAGACATACCTTTTTGAGATATTTTTTGTAAATAACGAACTTATTTTTGCTATGCGTTTTTCAAAATCTCTTAATTTATCAATTTTAACATGAGCATTTATGTTTTCAATAACAGTTGTATGCGCCCAAAACTTATTCCTATCCAGATCACATATTCGACATAACTGTGGTTCAACATATTCAAATAAAATTTTGATATTTCCTGTTGCTGGATCATGTTTTACTACACGTTTCCATAAATATTTTTGTATACCCTCAATGTATCCATCATTCAAATCATCATCATTGTTTATTGTTTCAATTCTTATGATTTGATTTGACAATAAATCTGATAACAATTGAATAATATGTTGTGGATGACCTCTTGTATTTTAAAATTTCATTTTCGAAAAAAAAGGATCAATGATAAAAAGAAAAGAATACAGACTTATCCGATTTTCGTGTAATTAATATCTCAAGATCTTTTGGAATGCGTTGTACAAACATAGCTTGACATGCAAGCGTCGATAAATAACGATTATCAAGACCTATGACGTCATAAAAATAAAACTGTTACTTATCATTCAAAGTTTTAATATGATCAATCGAGACCCATAAGTGGAATATGTTTTGTAGTTGGTAAATCTCGAAGGGTATCCATACGGGTATGAAGTTCGTCATCATTTAATGTTGGATCTCTCATTGCCATTACAAGAAGAGAAGTTGGAGCTGAACCTATTTTTGTAATTTAGTTTTTATTTAGAATATAAAAGCGATGAAAACAAAATTTTAACCAAGAAGATTCAGATATTGCCAAGATTCTTTATCAATATATTGAGCATCGTCAATAATAAAAATTGTTGGCTGTGGTTGATAATTCGTTATCTCATACGCTGGATTTGTTGCATTACAAATAAGTTCACGAATAATTTCTTCAAGAACAGTTCTTTTTAAAACTCCTGTTAATTTATCAGTATCGACACTAAGCTTATCAAAAAATGGTCGTAATAAATATAGATATTTTTCATGATCTAGAACACATATTCACTGGTCTACTGTTATGTTTTTATTTCATAAAAAAAGAAAAGATATAACTAACTTGGTAAAAGAGATTTTAATAGCTGTAAAAGAGCATCGGATTCTTGTAATTCAGTATACAATAGTTTTTTAAATAATTGTTTAAGTGCATAACCAAATAATTGAACATGTTCAAAACTAGCATTATATGAAACTCGACGTATATTTCTTGTATCATATATTAACTCTTCGTTTACATGTGCCAGAAGACGTGAGCGGCCCACACCTGTTAAACCAGTTAAAAATACACAGTGAATTGTTGTACAAGAATGTTTAATAACTTCTTCAATATATTCAAATATTAAATTCCATTCATCTTCACGATTTATTATTGGAAATACAAATACAGTCATATTATGTTCGTCTTTAAATATGTAAATAAAAATACAGCAGATTTTTGATGAGATAACCAAAATAAATAACTTAATAAATACCATCATCTTGCCCTTTATATCGACGCATACTTGTAGAAACTGTAAGACCTTTTAGTGGTACTGTAGGTAAAAATTCAAAATAGCGTTCTTCAAGATGAGCTTTATGATAGGTCTCATCATCGCATGCAACTATACCAGGATAATTAACCATTAGCCGAGCAGCCTAAACCCATTGATTATTATATTAACTTGAACAAAATATATTCAAACTAACCATATTTACTTTTCTACCAATAACTGTGTATTCACATCGAAGTGGATGTCCTAGTACACCCTACAATAGTTAATTATATTCGGTGTTTTTTTAAATATAGATTAATATCATAATGAAATGTTTTCTTCCTAATGAAATGAAGGAAGGTTTACTTCGGATATAGGAATAAATATAGTTACGAGAAACTTCAGTCTTGCAAATATTCGAATGAATATAGAGTGATGGTTCATACGAGCCATCATCAGATATTTTCTTATTTTAAGTATGATTTAAACACTTACACAAAATGTTTGTCCAGTAGAGACTCCAGTGCTAACTCGTGCCACAAAATTTAATTTTTCTAAAATTAAAAATTCTTCTCCTTTTATATGTATTATTCTAATACTAAAGAGATATTACCCAATCTTTGAGTAATAAGAAAAGCAAATTTTAAGGCTCGTTCAGCATCTACAAGTCAAATGTAGATTTGTTTTTGCTTATACTAATTAAATTATTTTCAAAAATAACAACAAACCATCGGGATGTTTATATCCAGGCATTCCAAAAGCACATAAAAGACTAAGACCTTTATCAAACATAAAAATCTTGGTCAATAAGCCATTGGTAATTGAAATTTGCTCAGCACAGCAATCAATAACTGTTTGTAATTTATATGGTAAATATTTAATTTTATAATCAGTTAAAATAATATTAATAAAACAAATATTAATAAGTCGAAGTTCAGATAATTGATCTAGAGATTCTTGATTGCGTACGGGTTTAATAATAAATGTACTCAAGGCTGATGTATCATATTCTTCAGAATATGAATAAGCACTTGGACGAAGTTTCATTGATTGTTCTTCTGTTAAAGTAACTCTTTTATCCTATAGTAAAAAAAAGCATGAAGAAATAAACAATTACAATGCTTTATTTTATCAATTTTGCTTTACAAAATTTCCTTGTTTTGTTTTCGTAGCTGTTGAAAAAAATGAGAAATCTTTTATATCTGTATCATTTATATCTATTGATGTTGTTTTGGGTGTATTCCATACATTGAGAAAATTGTCTCTAGAGCTATCTTGATTTAATATTTTAGAATATTTTAATGCATCAGTATCATCATTGAGTTCTATTGAATCTGTAGACATACTGGAATAGCTATCAGATAGATTGATATCTTTTGCAATATCATTTCGGCGACCATGAAGTCGAATATCTTTAATGTTTAGTTATTTATTCGAAATTATGTTTTATTGAAATGTCCTTACAATGACAAAGTATTTTTTGTATGGGTAAAATTTCACGGTTCTTATTGGGCGGTGTAAGATGTTTACTTATTGCTGTTGTTATTGTATTCGATGGACCTTGACCGATCATTTCAGTTTGATGACTTGAAGAACGTGATGGAATTTCGACATCTTCATCATCATGTTCAATCGCAAATTTTTCATGCATATATTCCTAAGATTATTTTTTTTCACTTTAAAATACTGATTACGTGCATTGTCATCTAATATGAATTGCAAGAGATTCTTATCTAGACATTGAATAAAATATTCCTATGTGTGTATGTATTGCATCGAAGTTTATTAGAAAAAGAAGTCTGAAGTACTGATCCATACATATGCAAGAACAAACTGTTTTAAATATTTACTATCATGCAAAGCATTTTACTCAAATCAACATAGTGCTTTGAATATCCAATAAACTTCTCTACAAAAATATATTAAATCCTGAATTGACATCAATTTAATATAGGAGCTCCGTGTCTAGAAAATTAAAAAAATAGTTGACAAGTCTCAGGGTTAATTTATGTATTCAGTTTTTCAGAGAACAATATTAAAGAGTTGAAAAAATTTCTTCGTACATTTCATTCACCATTTCTCTGTTCGCAATCTATTTGATAGAGAACTTAATGAACTATTCGAATCGCTCTTTGTCCTGTACTTGGACGCTAATGATGGTAGGAAATAGAAGAATCTACTTTATTCTTATGTCTTTAACCATATATTTTAATAATAATAATCTGATGAAGATTTATTAATTCTAAATTATTTCAACTGCAGATATGCATTTTTTGAAAATGTTTACTCTAACGTTTTCTAAAGCAATAAAACATCTTGAATATAACTATCTGATAGATCAAAAGAAGCGTCATTCGATATTTTCTGTTATAAACAAATTAATTTTTTCTCTTACTGAATCAGAATCAAGAAGTAACCATGTAGCCATATCCACAATAATATCTTGAGACTTACATTCATCTAAATAAATAAATATATTTAGAAGTATAGCTTATCAATTATTTTACGTTCGGCATTTCTGGCACTAACAACAGCACTGCCATAGCAAACATAATAATTAACCAGATTACTCCGACAATGTTCGATCATTTCTTCGGTTAATCCTGTTTTATTTACATAGTTTATTGATTGATGTTTTCCAGCATTGTTTTTTTTCATAGTTTCAGAATAAAAATTCGCATGCCTTGTTGTTAGTTGTGCCTTTGGCCCATATTCATCAAGAATTTTTGAACAAGCTGAAGTATTTCCCTAGATAAAAAATCTTGAAACAAATTGAACAAAAAAAGAAATTAAATTAAAACTAACACGCAGAAATATAAGTGAATAAGAACCCATCGCAATAGCACTTTTGATATTCAAAACCGTTCCAATGGGTGTCATATAATCACAAAATGATTTTTTCATATACAAAGCACAAGTAATAACTCGTTTTGCTTGTTCGCGTTTATGTTCAATAGAATCATTTGCAAATGGCCATAAACCTAATCAATCGATTATGTTTTTTTCTTCTTACTGTTGATAAATAAAAATTTTATTAAATATTTATTACCGAGCACAGCATCACCGGCAAATTTATAAACATCTCCTTTTTCTCTCAATATCGCTTCAACAATTGGTGCCATATAGCCATTAAGTGCATTAGCTAATTGATTAACTCCACGTTGCACATCAATACTATATTTTTGACACATTTCAGTAAAACCGGATACGTCAGCAAAAAGTATGATACCATTAAATGTTTCTGCATATGGCATTTTTCGATCATGTTTACGTTGTAGAACAACATCAGGTAACTGATAGATAAATGAACAAGATTGATTTGATGGAAAACATATAGATTGACCACCTATTGATTTTCTATTTTCATTATTAGTCTTTGTCATTTTATTGACTCTTAAATATAACAATCGCTCAAATTTATTAATTGATTACAAGCGTTGCATAGTCAGTTAAGGCGCTATATTTTTCTTTATTTTTTTATGTTGACTTTCTTATTATTAAAAATGATGATAATAAAGTATGAAAATGAATTGTTCTAGTAGATGATATTGCCAATGAAACTCAATGAATGATTGATTTTGAGGCAGGCGTTTGTTTCAGTGTTTTATCTTACTGAAAACTCTCATGTTACATCTGCTATATGACGGAGTGTTTATTTTAAAATTCTTTCAGTTATTCATCATACAGTCAGAGTATCAATAGTAAATTTTGATGTTACTTCATTAAATTATTAGCTAATTAAGCGTAGAGACTTATGCCTTCAAATTGTCTGCATTGTAACAAATATTCGTAGGTAAAAAAATCTTTTCTTAAAATTATCTCCTACGAGAAAATGCAGTAAATCGATGATAATAACAGCTTCTATTCGATGATACATTCTACCATAGAAGTTCTTTTTTTAAAGATCCTTATTTTGTTTATTTTTTATAAAATTTCAACAAAGTTATTTACAAAAGAAATCGAAAATTACAAAAAAAGATTCAATTACAAAAAGAAAGAAAAAGAAAACAAACAGCGTACATAATAAATTTTATTATTACATGCGCAATTTCTTGTTTTATACTTTGAAAAATGAAATGTTTTCAATGAAATAATTGATCATTCGGATCTGTATAGGTACAAGAAAATAAATCTTGTTCGAAATCAATTAATTGACGAAGAAAACCTAAATTTGGACAAACTATGGGTCTTCGATGTCTCAAAAACTTATACGATTCATATAATGTTGCATTATATGTTTTCATTAGATAAGCAAGTACTAACGTTGATGATCTTGATATACCTAAATTACAGTGAACAAGTATACGACTTGATGGATTTTGAAAAGCCATATTCATAAAACGTATTGTTTCATTAAAACGATCTTTTAAAAACACATCTTCGTTATCTTCTAATTCTATATGTAAATATTTAATCTTATCATAAAATACACATTGATGTTCAACTGATATATTAATGATATGTGTTAATTTAAGATCACGTACAACTTTCCAGTTTGTTGCCTGATGACCCGTACCTTAATGGAAATAAAAATAAAGCTGATGAAAGAAAAATAAGAATGCTTCTAATAATATTTTACCTAAATAAAGTTGATTGTCAAGAACAACAGATGGATAGATTGTTAGAAACTTTTCTCGGTCAACTGCCGAACGTATATCTGATTGAGTACAAACAAATGGAAATAGTTGACGGAATGCTTCAAAACCACCATCTAATGATATACATGATTTTGAGCCTGGTAGTGCAAAACGACTGCTAACGCGACGCATTTCTGCTGTTGCATTAAAGAAAATACCCGTGTCATCATATAACACTATTTCACTAAAGCGTTCGACAACAGATATATAAACATTACCATTCAATGCATCTTCCCAATAGATAGCTAAAAATATTCTACATTATCAAGGATCACTGTTGTTTAAGTTTTAAATATAGCATTCTTTTTTCAGACAAATTATCTGAGAGGTTAAAATTAATTTAAAGAAACACAAAAGAATGCATTGTCAACGGTAGACTACTTTCTACTTCTTTTACATTGTGCTTGTAAGAATTTCACCAATATTCTTGTTACACATCTTGGTTCTGCATACTATTGATAGGTTTCTGTAGTCATGTATTTTCTTGTTCTTTGTTTGACTTTCTCACCTTTTCTACTCAATCTTAATGCAATGTATAAAAACATCACTTGAAGGTGACAGACTGATTTCTGGTTGCAAAATATAAAATTCCATTTTATTTTTGCCAGTTTGAATTTTTAAGAAAAATGATCACCTTAATTTTCGCTCAGTAAGATATTCATTATATATTCATGGTTTTGACAGTTGAAATAAATTTTTTCTGTAGAAAAAGAATTTCATGAATAATTTTTATCATTACAAAACTACGTAAACTTTCATTTCAAAATTCCATAACGTCGACAGCGAAAGAAAAATAAATGAACTAAATATTAATGTTACGCCATAAATACGATATATAAAATTGAAAATTTTGCTTCTGATGTAGTGGCTCTTTGAGAACAAAAAGTAAAGAAACTAATTCATTATCGATCGATTAGAAAATATGAAAACTTGTTTCTTTAAAATAAAAGTCATGATTCATGATCTATAGCTATATATAACTTTTCTTTTGTTAAGACTTTTTTACACTTGTTTGTGCAATATTATTTTTTAAATCATGATATACCACATACGGTTTTTTTCTATTGAAAAACATATTATAATAATGACTGTTTCTGAATTTCTCTAAAGAAAGAAATGAGACTTTTACCTGTAACAATATGGCTATCATGAAATTTTTCTCTTGATCGACAATCAATGATATACAAGTAATGTGCATGCATTAATAAGTATTGATTTTGTAATCCATAGCCCATCATATTAAATAATTTTGATGGTGTAACGTAGCCTGGTTGACATATTGATGCTGGTAATGAACATTTAGGTTTTCCTTGGTTTGATTGACCTTGCTGCTGATTATTTTGGTTCGTAGATTTTTCATTTGCCCATCCATTTATTGTCGATATTTGTTGCTTAAAACCATTTGAAGATGACATAGCTGACTGAAGATCAGGTTTTGATCGTCTTCTTGTTGTTGATTTATCATTTGGCATTGAACGTCGAGATTCTTGTGATTGAGGTGTGACAGGTGTAGATGTTGTTGAAAACGTTTTCGATGATCCATTAGATTTTTTTACTGAATCTAATGTTTGTCTTTGATATAGTTTTTCATTATCTTCGTTATTTCCATTAGTTTCTTCAGTTTGTATTGAACTGTTAGATGAAAGTGCATATGATTTTTGTTTCGTACGTGGAGATGGTAATGAGTTTCGTGGAATCACTCTGGTGATTGGCATATTTCAAGTATTTAGCGATGAAAAAAAAACGAAAATTGTAATGGGCGGATTTCACTTGTTAGATCACTTTACAAAAGCGTAGAAGTTGTGAATGAATGAAAGAGAGAATAATAGGAGAGACAGAGAAAAAGAAGAAAAAAAGAAAAAGAGAAATTTATATTAAGAAGAATACTATTTGTATTCAACGCTGTTAAAAATCATGTGTCAAAACTCAGACGAAAAGAGAATAAGTTTTTTCTTCTTTTTCCTATAAGTCTACATTTGTTAGCATCAATTTAACGATTAAAATGAGAATGCTTCACTCACAGACACCTTGAGAAATTAAAAAAGAAATGTATCAGTAGATCTTTTCAGATCTTTAATTGGCTACTTATAAATAACCTTCGAATGGAATTTTCTTATTGCTTTTTTTTGACAAAAAAAGGAAAAAAGAATTCATTGGAACAATATCCTTCAGTTGGAGATGGCCATGAAATAAGAATGCGTTTATAAGCAAAGAAAAAAACCTTCAAACTGATTCTAATCTTAATGTCTACCTGTTAAAACAAAAAACTTTTTCCTTCTTAGAATGTCATCTTATAATTCAGAGAAAGTGTTGTATTTAGTTTTTACATTGACCAGTATTATTAAAACAAAAAGCATCATGATGATCTAAACATTGTGCAGATTTTCAGCGGGCGATCACTTCATGAAGTATAATTTATAGACTTGAGTTTGATTTATGAAAAAAAGTTTTGAAATAAAGTCAAAGCAAAATATGAATAAAAACACTCATTTGTTGCTCATTTCTGTTTATTAATTGCATCTATACGAAGAAGTACAATTTATAACAAAACCTTTTATATTCTACAACGAGAAGAAAATCATTCTTTAGTCATATTCAACAAGGTTAAAAAATAAAAATGTTGACTATTCAGAATATTTATGAAATGCAAAAGAAAAACAAAATCAAAGTTAGATAGTCTATTTTTCAAATAAAAGGAACAAAATTAAGGTCATCGATTACCTCTACTCATTTATCAGCATTACTTTCTTTTACAACGTACATACATTTCTACTTCTATTTATAAATATTTATTTTTACTGCATACTTTCGGTTATGGAAGAGCATACTTGAAATGAAACCTTATATGAGTTTCATATAGTCTTGGGATGTATATGTTAGTAGTAATTGTTGATCGAAATTCGACATTCACCGCTTTTTGTGACAACCGACAAAGAGATCGTAAATCACAATTTCATCATATTTGCTGATGTAGAAATATTTATCGAATGTCCTTGCCAATTCATTACAAAAATTACTTTTTCATAAGTGTGAATGTTTTTTTTCTTCTGTAATTTTATTCTCGAAAAATCATACACAAACATGTGTGCACAATGGAAAAAAAACATGATACTGAAACCACCAACACTATCACAATTGCAATAAAAAGAAAAAGAGAAAGAAAAAAACGAATGTTGAAAATCGCTTATTATTATTATTATTTTGCTAAGGTATAATGTGTATTTCTGGGAACAGAGAATGTGTGTGCATGTTTATTGAGTTATACGTATTTTTTAAGACGATAGCGACCTGTGCATGTGCAATGTAGAATCATCAATCTATTGCGTATTTATTATTGTGAGCAAAGATTCATACATAAAGGAATCATGGACGATGTTTGTTGACATTAGCGACCAGTCGAGTGCACAAATAAAGGGGAATTCAAAGAAAAAGAAATGCTTAAAAAGAATCAAAATAGAAAACGAAGGATTCGATATTGAAAGTAGGCACTTCTAAACTGTCATGTTTTCTTTTTCTTTTTTTGTCAAAAATTCTAATGAGGATTATAATGGCCAATAGCTTTAAGGTTGTTAACAAACATTCCACGTGCCACTTCAGGTCGACGATCTTCACCAGACACCATTCCAGGTACCTATTTTATTGATTAAATTATAAATAGAAATAATAATAAAAAACGAAATGAAAAAGAAAAAATCTTGCACTTACAACATTTGAATCAACAAAAATACAGCCATTCTCATTAAGTTTTGTTCGTTTAACTTCGATTTCTTTTTCATTGACACCACGACATGCATCTTCAATTAATACAGTTCGATAGTTATTTTCTACTGCATGCATTGCTGTAGAAGCTAAATTATAATTTTCATGAAATAATTTAGAAAAATATTTAACTTTTACTCTTTGATGTATAAAAAATAAAAATAAAAACATACCAACACAAACGTCAGTAGCCAAACCAACAACATAAACATCAGTTACAAAACGCTCTCTTAATTGATCATCAAGACTTGTTTTACTTAATTTCATATTATCCCAAAATGCTGAATAAGAATCAATTTCCGGATTTGTTCCTTTATAAACATGTATAGCATTGTCAATACGAGTCAAATCACGATGTAAATCAGCACCAGGTGTTTTCTGAACACAATGAGCTGGCCAAAGAACTTGTTCAACTCCATTTGTCAGTTCAGATGTTCCAACAAATATAACAGTATCGAGAATATGTGCCTTATCAGCACTAATCTATAATTAAAACAGAAGTATTACATTATCTTAACAAGATATTCTTTTATTCTTTGCATACAGGACTTGTGGGTGCTGTTTTTCTTAGATGACGATTTTCGTAGAATGATATATGATTTAATGGATGCCAATCATATGTGTACGCAATAACATCAAAATTAACATCACGAATAACTCGATTGATGACAGGAACAACTTCTTCGCCTTAAGTAATATTGAAACAAGGGTATTGAAATAAATAAAAAATAAAGATGAAATTTCTCCATTTTACAATACCTCGATGATTAGCAGGACATGAATGAAGTGCTAATGATCCTGATATAAAATCATTTTGAACATCGACTATGACTAGTGCACTAACAGGTTTTACAGCCTAAAAATATATTAGTGTTAATTTGATATATGATTTGAAAAACTCTACTTACACATTTTATTGTTTTTTTCCATGCACTTAAAAACTCGTCAAAATCAATTTTTTGGTCCTGAAAAGTAACGAATGAGAAAAATCGTTGAATCGATTCAGCGTTGGATTTATTTACTTGATTAAAATCAGTTTCACAAAAATATTGTTCGATTAAATCACTTAATATACAATAGGGGCGTTTTTTATTTGAAAAAAGTGCATTAAGAAAACGACGAAAATCTTCTCGACTCCAAGCACCTTTCCTGTAAAGAATACTATGTATCAATTTATACCAAAATAAGAAATAATATACTTATTTGAATCGAAATAACGAAAACATTTTTTAAATTCTTCATCAGAAAAATGATTTTTTCTTAAAGAATCAAATGGATCATAATCGACAGGTGGTGGTGACATTGATGCTTCTAAAAATCAAAACATATTAAAGATAAGTAAACTGATATATGAATATAACCGATCATATATTTAGATTAGAAAAAGTAAAACAATATTTAGTAATATTCAATAGAAACTGACCTTTTCCTCCCATCGATCTTTCAGAAAAATTACGACCAATAGATTTCAATATCGAATGATGTTTTTGTTCATTGATATTTGAAAAAGATGCAGCAACACTACCAGAAATTAAAGCGCCACATGGAATGAAAAAACGTCGGGTAAATACTAGAAGAAGTTGACGCATCTCGTTCGAAGACGAAAAATGTTATGCTTCATCTATATTTCTAGCAGGTAGCTGTAAGGTATATACTGAGTTTTTTCTATTCTTTTTTCTCCCTGTAAGCATTTTTCTATTTTTTTCACCTCTCTTTTTTTGGGAGGAGGGGGAGCGCAGCGGTGAACGAAGGTAGCATTCTCGAAAAGCATAAAGAAATTAATATAAGCCACAAAAAATAGTTATTATGACAAATACGATGAAGAGAATGATTGTTAATGGTAGTTTGGAGGTTGTTATAAAACTGAACAATGTGAAACTATTAACGGCATTACGATCGATAAAAAGGCAGATAGACAGACGTGATAGAGAAATGAGGGAACGTAAGAAGAAAAAAACGGACGTTACTGCGGTATGCGCATTGGTTCGGTTACTTTTCTTTTTGGTGTTCTTCGCTCGTTCATAGAACAATCTTATCGTGTTTTCTTTATTGCAGATTTTTCTTTTGCAGTTATTGACGTCACACCTACTTACCGAGAGTGAGGAAGTGTGTTTGATGAAAGGGTTGATATGCACATATTTATATTAATATCTGTGTATGTACGAGAGAAATCCGATTAAACAGTAAAGAAAAAAAAAGAAAGTAGACGATGGAAATTGAGTTAATCTCGAAGAAAAAGGAAACGGAAAAAATATTTTAAGTGATTCTCTTATTGGGTTTGTTAGCCAGTTTGATCTGTTTATATTACTTTTTTTTCATAAAGAATAATCCATCGAAATAAATAAAATACTTAAAAGAACGATAGAGTTTTTAACGCAAAGTAAAATTTCGCATAAATAATGTCGATAGTTTATGATTATAGGTCGTTCTTTTGTGTCAAATTCTTTTCATAAACGACATACTAGTACTCATAGAAAAGTCAACTTACAATAACTAAGAAAATTGTGTAGTCTAATTCTGAGTTCTTTTTTTTTTTTAAGTTTTAGCAATACGTCAAAATAATATTTTACTGATTTTTGAATGAAAATAAAACAATCAGAGGTTATGCTAAACAAATATTTTCAGTATTGACTTTGTTATTAGAAAATATTGATATCGTATAATCGAAAGATAAAATCCGATGAATATGCTGAATATTCTTAGAGAAGAAGTCATTTGATAAAAATACAGTTATACTTTCGTACTTGCTATTTTTTGAGTACCTATGACTTGAAATTTTATCTAGGATAAAGAAAACTGAGAGATACAAATATGTCAATACCAAAATTTATTCTTTGTTCTATGTAGTGACAGTAGAACTTAACTTCTTCTGTTGACAAAACTTCAAAAAATAACTAATCGAATGATTAATCATGTGAATTAAAGCTAATATTGTATTTTCTGATAATGTTATCAT